AGGCACAGAGGAGGGCTCAGAACTGTGGGACACAGAGACGACTTAGCAGAGTCATATGGAGTTGGAACCAGAAGAAGAATCCAGATCTCACGTAGATAGCCCAGGATTTTCTCAGTAAATTACTCATCGAATGTTGCCCTATAGATGTTTTACAGGTGATGGGTACTAGGTGTCTGAAGAGAAGGAAACACCATGAAGGAAGAAAGAGAGAATTGAAATAAGCACTGAGAAGGTGTGTCAAGGACATGCTCCACAGGTACAGTGACAGCTTTAGTTTTTGTTAAAAGAAATTCAGACCATGATCCTTTCATGATTAATGGGGATCATTCCTTGCCCTATGTAGGTAATTCAGGCACCAGGAAGGTGTAACTGGCTGAATAGATCTCCTCACCCGCCTGAACAATGTGACTGAGTTTGTTCTCTTGGGACTCACACAGAATCCATACTTACAGAAGATACTCTTCATTGTCTTTTTGTTCAGTTTTGTATTTACCATGCTGGCCAATCTGCTCATGGTCATTAGCATCTCCCTCAGCCCTTCACTTTCAGCTCCCATGTACTTCTTTCTCACTTACTTGTCCTTCATAGATACCTCCTTCACCTCTGTCACAACTCCTAAAATGCTCATTGACCTGCTGTGTCAGAGGAAAACCATCTCCTGGGGTGGCTGCCTGGCTCAGCTCTTTGTGGAACACTTCCTGGCTGCATCAGAGGTCATAGTCCTTGTTGCAATGGCCTATGACCGCTATGTGGCCATCTGCAAGCCTCTGCACTACACGACCATCATGCAACTGGGGCTCTGCCGGTTGCTGATGGTGGTGGCCTGGATTGGGGGGATTGTGCATGCCACTCTGCAGATTCTTCTTGCAGATGACTTGACCTTCTGTGGTCCCAATGTCATTGACCACTTCATGTGTGATTTCTTCTCACTATTGAAACTTTCCCGCGACACCTACAGACTTGGAGTGGTGGTGGCAGTGAACAGCGGGGGCATGTGCTTACTCATTTTTTTCATGCTGCTCATCTCCTACATAGTCATCCTGTGCTCCCTGAAATCCCGTGGCTCTGAAGGACGGCACAAAGCCCTCTCTACATGTGGCTCCCACTTTACAGCAGTGGTGCTCTATTTTGTGCCTTGTATTTTCATCTACACGCGTCCTGTGGCCACGTATCCTGCAGACAAGTTGGTGAGTGTGTTCTACTCAGTCCTCACTCCCATGTTAAATCCTATCATTTACACAGTGAGAAACACAGAGGTGAAAAACGCCATGAGGAGTTTGTTGAGGAGGAGAGTAACTTAGGCTGTTCATGATGTCAAGAAACTGGTGATTTATATACATAGGGAAGATTACACATGTTGTAAATTGTGGAAAAAAATTAAGAAATTTTGCAGATCACTGACAGGAAAACAAGGCCTAGAAACTAACATTTGTTGAGTATTTAATAATGGCTAGGCATTTTTTAGGCACCCTGATAATTTGTGATATACTTTACCAAGTCTTCAATCTTCACGGATATAGCTTCAGAATAGCCAATGGAAAGAACAACTCTAAACTCCTAGTTCAATGATTGTAGGGTATGTTTTTCTCCAGTGTCTTACTGCTACTTTACCAAATTCTTTACATATGTAACTTTGATGAAATTGACTTTTCCAAAGGACTTTGTCTCAGAACTCTTGTTTTTTTCTAACCTTTGGCAAAGCCAATAAATGATAGGAATTCTTATATAGATACACTGGGAAGGGACAGTTGATTGACAGAATAACAGCTGATTTTTTCCATGAATTTTCAAAACAAAAAGAGAGATACCCACAAAAGAAGGGAAGAGTAATTCAAAATCTATCTCTAAATCTTTTCTTGTCACAAAACAAGGCAGAAATTTTGAAGTTACTCCTTTTTTATTGAAATATTTTCAGTTTACAATATTATGCCAATTTCTGGTGTACAGCATATTTCAGTCATATATATATATGTATACACACACATATGTTCATTTTCATATTCTTTAAGTATCTTCATGGCTCCTAATTTTCATTGAATATAAAGAATTTTTTTCCATGCAAAGAACTGAGGAATGTAATGGTAAACTTTCTTTCATCCAATTTCAACCAAAAGGCATTTGTTAGGTTCCAAAGCTATTGCTCTCTAGTTTGGATACATATTTTTACACTAAATGAACACTAATTATTATATATCAGGCATATTTGTTGCAGTTGATTCATCCACATACTAAGCCTGTCATTCCATTATTAATATGAACATTTTGCATAGAAGCAAATTGAAGTCAAGAGAAGTTTACTAATTTATTTGCCCCACATCGCACATGCTTACCCCATGTGGTGCATCAGGAACTATTACATTGAAATGCACCTTCCTCTCAAAAGTTTCTGCCACAAACTTCCAGGTCTTAAAATTCAATCTTACTTTCTTTCAAATGAAACCCAATTGTCTGTGGTATGTTTAGGTCTATAGATAAGAAAATGATATGCAGGCTTAATTATTCACTTTGTCCTTCAAGAAGGTGGTGTCAAATTTGCTGTCATCTTGTCGTACATGGAGCATTTCAGCACCACGAGTTTTTCCTCTTTGTGAATGTCTGGGTTAGGCCACTTGACTTTTACCAGAGACCAGCATTAGTATGGTAATAGTTTTTTTTTTAATCAAAACTCCCCTTCAGATTTCTTTCAGTTAATGAAAACAAGTACTGATGCTGGTCTTCATAAAAGTGAAGTGGCCAAGGTGAACTTTTGAGAAGTAGGGGGTACCTGCAGTGTTCCTCTATGCACATGGAGGGCGCCTGTCGTTCTGCATTATTACATAACGTTTTACAAATCAGGCTTCTCTGATTATAACACTTCAACTCGTGTTACTTCTCACAAATGTTCCTTCACAGACTCGCTAGTCAGATGGAGGTATTTCTTCCATAATTTGACCACACAGTAATGCCAGAGCATGGTACTGGGGTGACTGTGTGTACCCAGGTGGGCATGGCTGTCTCCATTTCATAAGAAACAGAATGTTTTCCCACAAAATCTAGGCCTGGAAGATGATACACTCAGCACTTAATTTATTAAAATTGTCAAATTTGCAACTGCTGGTGAAAACTAAACATGTCAACAGAATCTAGACTGAATGATATGTAGTTCATTTTGTTTTATGACTGTAAAATAGGAGATGAGAGTAATCTAAGAGTAAGGAAAATCAGGGTATTGAGTAAATGTCATTTTTATTCTAAGACCAAATAGGATTTGATGAGGGCAACTAAGGCCAATGATTGTGTCTTAGGGGCCATACCAAGGGCTCAGCGGAAGAGTGAGAAGATTAGTGAGGCACAAATTAGAAATTGTCAGCAGCCAGTTTGGAAGCTGCAAGAACTGAAGGAGGAAATGTAAGGCAATCTGCCATTCCCACTGGATAGAGTCTTGCTGGTTTGCGAGTAAGTTTAATTCCTGCTAAGATGCCCCTTTCCACTTACCATCATGAATCTCTCCTGAGAATAAACTGCCACCTGATAATTTCTGATTCTTGAAAAAAATACTGGAGAGTGAGTATGTTTCTTCTGAAAATTAAGGATATAAATAATGTTTGGATCTGTTACATATGGACAGCTTGGTTTAATTTGCAGTTTGGTGAAAATATTAGACGTTAACTGAAGGGAATTAGCTAAATATTATTGAAGGCCAACTATGACACTTACATCATGATAGGTGCTTTACATACTTTAACTTTCTTAATGCAGCAACAGGTAGTATTAGAGAAGTTTTACTCCATTTCACATTAGAATAAAATAAGACTCAGTGAAGTTAAACAGAACTATCACATCTTTCAGACTTTGCTTACTCTAATCTTCTCTCTTCAAAATTCTCCTTCATATCTTCATGTGAAAATACCAAGACACAGAACGGATCATTGGCCACACTGTGGAGATTGTCAGTGAGGTTGTTTTTCTCTGTTATTTTTTTCTTGGTGGAGAGCTTTCTTTTTTTTAACATTTTTTATTGATGTATAATCATTTCGCAATGTTGTGTCAAATTCCAGTGTAGAGCACAATTTTTCAGTTATACATGAGCATATATATATTCATTGTCACATTTTTTTCTCTGTGAGCTACCATAAGATCTTGTGTATATTTCCCTGTGTTATACAGTATAATCTTGTTCATCTGTTCTACAATTTTGAAATCCCATCTATCCCTTCTCATCCCCCACCCTCTTGGCAACCACAAGTCTGTATTCTATGTCTATGAGTCTGTTTCTGTTTTGTATTTTATGGTTTGTTTGTTTTTTTGCTTTTGTTTTGTTTTAGATTCCACGTATAAGTGATCTCATATAGTATTTTTCTATCTCTTTCTGACTTACTTCACTTAGAATGACATTCTCCAGGAGCATCCATGTTGCTGCAAATGGCGTTATGTTGTCGGTTTTTATGGCTGAATAGTATTCCTTTGTATAAATATACCACCTCTTCTTTATCCAGTCATCCACTGATGGACATTTAGGCTGTTTCCATGTCTTGGCTATTGTAAATAGTGCTGCTATGAACATTGGGGTTCAGGTGTCATCCTGAAGTAGGGTTCCTTCTGGATATATGTCCAGGAGCAGGATTCCTGGGTCATATGGTAAGTCTATTCCTAGTCTTTTGAGGAATCTCTATACTGTTTTCCACAGTGGCTGCACCAAACTGCATTCCCACCAGCAGTGTAGGAGGGTTCCCCTTTCTCCACAGCCTCTCCAGCATTTGTCATTTGTGGACTTTTGAATTATGGCCATTCTGACTGGTGTGAGGTGATACCTCATCGTAGTTTTGATTTGCATTTCCCTGTTAATTAGTGATATTGAGCATTTTTTCATGTGCCTGTTGATCATTTGTATGTCTTCCTTGGAGAATTGCTTGTTTAGGTCTTTTGCCCACTTTTGGATTGGGTTGTTTGGTTTTTTTCTTATTAAATCGTGTGAGCTGTTTATATTTTCTGGAGATCAAGCCTTTGTCAGTTTCATTTGCAAAAATTTTCTCCCATTCCGTAGGCTGTCTTTTTGTTTTGCTTAAGGTTTCCTTTGTTGTGCAGAAGCTTATGTTTCATTAGGTCCCACTTGTTTATTCTCGCTTTTATTTCTATTGCTTGAGTAGACTGTTCTAGGAGAACAGTTTTGAGATGTATGTCAGATAATGTTTTGCCTATATTTTCTTCTAGGGGGTTTATTGTATCTTGTCTTATGTTTAAGTCTTTGATCCATTTTGAGTTGCTTTTTGTATATGGTGTAAGGGAGTGTTCTAGCTTCATTGTTTTACATGCTGCTGTCCAGTTTTCCCAACACCATTTGCTGAAGAGACTGTCTTTATTCCATTCTATATTCTTGCCTCCTTTGTTGAAGATGAGTTGACCAAAAGTTTGTGGGTTCATTCATTTCTGGGCTCTTTTCCATTGGTCCATATGTCTGTTCTTGTACCAATACCATGCTGTCTTGATGACTGTAGCTCTATAGTATTGTCTGAAGTCTGAGAGAGTTATTCCTCCAGGCTCTTTCTTTCTCTTCAGTAATGCTTTGGAAATTCTAGGTCTTTGATGGTTCCCTATAAATTGTATTATGATTTGTTCTAGTTCTGTGAAATATGTCCTGGGTAATTTGATAGGGATTGCATTAAATCTGTAGATTGCCTTGGGCAGTGTGACCATTTTAACAATATTGATTCTTCCAATCCAAGAGCATGGGATATCTTTCCATTTTTTTAAGTCTTCTTTAATTTCCTTCATCAATGGTTCATAGTTCTCCATGTATAACTCTTTCCCCTCCTTGGTTAGATTTAATCCTAGGTATTTTGTTACTTTGGGTGCTTATATGTTATAAGGGGATTGTTTCTTTACTTTCTTCTTCTATTGATTCATTGTTAGTGTAAATAAATGCAACTGATTTTTGAACATTAATCTTATAACCTGCTACCTTGCTGAATTCTTTGATCAGCTCTAGTAGTTTTTGTGTGGACCTTTTAGGGTTTTCTATACATAGTACCATGTCATCTGCATATAGTGACACCTCTACCTCTTCTTTTCTGATTTGGATCCCTTTTATTTCTCTCTCTTGCCTCATGCTGTGGCTAGGACTTCCAAGACTTTGTTGAATAGGAGTGGTGATAGTGGGCAGCCTTGTCTTGTCCCAGATTTTAGTGGGAAGCTTTTGAGTTTTTCACCATTGAGTACTATGCTAGCTGTAGGTTTGTCATATATAGCTTTTATTACATTGAGATATGTTCCCTCTATACCCACTTTGGTGAGAGTTGAGAGCTTTCTTTTCTTTAGCTCTTCATTGACTGACTTTTTCCTGGCTACTTGCAGTCTCTTGATTCCTCTTGTGTCAGGGAAAAGCCATCTATGATGGTACAAATGATCTCATTTGTGCAGACACATTACCCTTCATGCGCATCATAAAAATGGGAGTAATAAGCTCAAGAAATGTAATTCAAATGTTTGGCTTTCAAAGGAAGTGACCTTTGGGCCAAAGAGATATTTGGAGTTAAAAAATGAGCCACTCAGTCACTGGGGAGATTGACCCTCTGTTTGGGCCTGAGGGCAGCACCTTTAAGAGCTAAATAGTTGTTACTTCCATAGGGCTTTTCTCATTGTTATCCCTTAATCTTAACATTTATTACTGGAAAAATGCCTCATGGTCAACTCAGTTTAGGACTTATTTGACTTATTTAACTAATCCAAAAAATACTGTTTAGTGCCTACAGTAAGAAACAGAGCCATGGAAGCTGGGCATACAACATTGAATTATACAAACAGGGTTGTATTTTGTGTGAAACTTATATTCCAGTGAGGACAGATGGGTAATAAGCAGGTAAATGGGTAAATTAAAAATGTAATTTTGCTAGTAATGGGTCTGATGAGAAACATTTGATCAGAGGGTGATGCAGGAGGGAAGACTTGGATGTAGATTTGTGAAGTTGCTTGAAGCACAGCAAGAATTTCAGTTTGGTCAAAATTTACATAACCGCATTAAACATCTTCCTTTTCTTTTAATAAATGGGATATTTAAAAACATGTATTTGATGGGGCAACATCTCTCCCAAGGAGGTAAAAATGATTTCTTGGAGCATGAATATTATATATCTCACATAAATAGGCAGTAAATTTGTGGTATTATTATTTTAGAGGGGGTAATTAAGGGAATAAAATATTTTAAAAAGCACTTTTGTGGGGCTATAGTGAAAACACGATTGAGGAATACAGTGCGAAGTCGTGTCTAAATGGTTCAGTAAGCTTATGAAGCAACTTTAGAATGTTAGTAAAGGTAATCCAAGTACAGAGGATTTTTACACAATCTTTATACAATCTGGCTGCCTTTTGGGTAACCTTTTCTATTTAGATGAAATTCGAATTCCTCTGCCATGCTCAGGGGTTGTTTCTTATATAAATCCTTAGACACTTAGAGCATCTCTTTTGAATCTTCAAAATCATTAGGAATCTAATCCTATCAAAATAACTTCCCATTAAGTCCTTGGGCGATTTGTTTCCAGAATGGCCCTATTTACTCATCTTCATGCTTGGATTTGCTAAATTGAAACTCTAATGTGTCATGAGCTTCAGCTTTTTTGTAGATAAGAGTTTGTGTGAGTACATTCTCCATGGGGCAAGGCTTTAGTAACCCTGACTTGATCCTAGAAAATTTACTTGCACAATCTCTGCCTCCTACTTATGGGGACTATCAGCTGACTGGCTTTTAGAGGTCATAGAGATGACACGAGCCTGGATTTTGGAGGTGATTTTAACAACTTTTTTGAGTACTAAACATGATCTTATCAATTTGAAGTACTATTTTGAAATAATTGAATCACTTGTATGTATGCACAATTATATTTAAAATGTGTCAGTAGTTCACCTGTTTTGTCTATATAAGCAAATTTTGGCCTCATGATGGAGAGCCTTGAGCTACCAACAGTCTTTTGCTTAATTTACTTTCATCTCTTTTAGCATTATGGAAACATGTGTCTACCTTTTTTTTCTCTATCCAGATCGTGAGATTAGCAAAGAAGAGTGTGTTTGTTTCCAGAGATGTGTCTTAGGAAAAGGAGAAACTGGAGTAGCTGGAATGTAGAGGATACCTTAAGACAGGTTTTATGTTTCCCTTCTTTCAAGCAATTTTCTCTGTATGTGGATGTATTTTATAAGTAACATATATAATATATAATATATGTACAATTCTGGGTTCCTCTTGGACCAGCTTCCTTTAACTTTATTTTTCTACTAATCATCTTTGAGAAAGACTTTATGTGGTGTTTTCTTTCTGTTTTGTTCAATTAAGGGTTCTAATTATTTAAGGAAAATAATAAGTTGGTTTAAATATATATATATATATATATATATATATATATATATATATATATATATA